GGTGTACCCAGAGACAACACAAGCATACGAGGGGAAAACACTCAAACGGTTACACAGACAGGTGACGAACTCATTTGCTACGTTTCCATCTCGTGGCCATTTCGCACACCAACGGGGTTTAGGAGACTCGCAAAAAAACACTTTGTTGAATTTATTTCACACCACACGTAACTGATAACCATTCTAATCCGAGGTGCTTATGTACAGTGAGGGAAAAAGTATTTGATCCCCTGCTGATTTTGTACGTTTGCCCACTGACAAAGAAATGATAAGTCTATAATATTAATGGTAGGCTTATTTGAACAGTGAGAGACAGAATAACAACAACAAAATCCAGAAAAAGCATGTCAAAAATGTTATAAATTAATTTGCATTTTAATGAGGGAAAAAAACATGACTTAGTACTTGGTGGCAAAACCCTTGTTGGCAATCAGAGGTCAGACGTTTCTTGTAGTTTGCCACCAGGTTTGCACACATCTCAGGAGGGATTTTGTCCCACTCCTCTTTTCAGATCTTCTCCAAGTCATTAAGGTTTCGAGGCTGACGTTTGGCAACTCGAACCTTCAGCTCCCTCCACAGATTTTCTATGGGATTAAGGTCTGGAGACTGGCTAGGCCACTCCAGGACCTTAATGTGCTTCTTCTTGAGCCACTCCTTTGTTGCCTTGGCCGTGTGTTTTGGGTCATTGTCATGCTGGAATACCCATCAACGACCCATTTTCAATGCCCTGGCTGAGGGAAGGAGGTTCTCACCCAAGATTTGACGGTACATGGCCCCGTCCATCGTCCCTTTGATGCGGTGAAGTTGTCCTGTCCCCTTAGCAGAAAAACACCCCCAAAGCGTAATGTTTCCACCTCCATGTTTGACGGTGGGGATGGTGTTCCTGGGGTCACAGGCAACATTCCTCCTCCAAACACGGCGAGTTGAGTTGATGCCAAAGAGTTCCATTTTGGTCTCATCTGACCACAACACTTTGACCCAGTTGTCCTCTGAATCATTCAGATGTAAATTGGAAAACTTCAGACGGGCATGTATATGTGCTTTCTTGAGCAGGGGGGCCTTGCGGGTGCTGCAGGATTTCAGTACTTCACGGCGTAGTGTGTTACCAATTGTTTTCTTGGTGACTATGGTCCCAGCTGCCTTGAGATCATTGACAAGATCCTCCCGTGTAGTTCTGGGCTGATTCCTCACCGTTATCATGATCATTGCAACTCCACGAGGTGAGATCTTGCATGGAGCCCCAGGCCGAGGGAGATTGACAGTTCTTTTGCGTTTCTTCCATTTGCGAATAATCGCACCAACTGTTGTCACATTCTCACCAAGCTGCTTGGCAATGTTCTTGTCGCCCATTCGAGCCTTGTGTAGGTCTACAATCTTGTCCCTGAAATCCTTGGAGAGCTCTTTGGTCTTGGCCATGGTGGAGAACTTGGAATCTGATTGATTGCTTCTGTGGACAGGTGTCTTTTATACAGGTAACAAGCTGAGATTAGGAGCACTCCCTTTAAGAGTGTGCTCCTAATCTCAGCTCGTTACCTGTATAAAAGACACCTGGGAGCCATAAATCTGATTGAGAGGGGGTCAAATACTTATTTCCCTCATTAAAATGAAAATCAATTTATAACATTTTCTGACATGCGTTTTTCTGGATTTTCTTGTTGTTATTCTGTCTCTCACTGTTCAAATAAACCTACCATTAAAATTATAGACTGATCAGTGGGCAAACGTACAAAATCAGCAGGGGATTCAATACTTTTTTCCCTCACTATACAAGTACAAAATTCCTTAACGTGCAAACACGAGCCCTGTGTAGGCACACGCATCGCATGCGTTTGCGTGCGATGCGTGCATCACGTGCGCGCTCTCCGGCCATCTACGAGACTAAGCCTCCAGCTCCAGGCCCAGCCTTAGCTTGTGGCAGCCAGAATTGATGTTATTTACAACGAGCAGTGGACAGAGACGATGGATTAATCCAACCCCACCAGTGGGTAGCTAATGAGTGTGCCGGCGGTGAAACTGCACAAGGGAGGGCCTACAGGCCGGATGGGCCCAGTCATGGGGTGTTTTGCTTTGAATGGATCATCGGTGAGCCATACCCAGCAACAGACTGCTCTGAATGCCCACATTTAGCAAGAGGTCACTGGCAATGGAGGATAACACACGAGCACAGCCAGGCCTCTCCTCACCTTAATATGCATAGCTGTCAACCCCTTGTCAGTGTCTGCTTTATTACAGACCAATTTAGACTTTATTGGTCACCCCGTGTCCTTATAAATCTCAACGTTCATCCAACAAAGTCCCATCACAAGGGAGAAACACAAACTAATAGACAATTATAATTTTTTGCCTGTATTCAAATGGCTGTACGCAGTATGGACCTCAAAAATAGAATTTCCCCGTACAAGAATATGGGTAAACCGTATGGGTTGACAGCTATGAATATATTCAATGCCCTGATGCAAGAGCCCATCATTGTTTAATTCACAGTCGATGAACAATCAGCAGCAGCTAAATGTAACACGCAGCCTTTCGTCGCCAATATTATTGCCTATAATAGATTTTTTTTGGGTCAGATCGCTTAAGTAAATTTGTCATAACCTCTCTATCACCGTATATTGCCAATTAATAAAGTTGTCATGTCAATAAACGTGCCAATGTATTTCTACTTCAGCAAACTGACGTGTTTGAGGAATGACCAGCATCATCAGGCAGTTGCAATATTTCTGACTCAAAAAATCAATTACAAAGCAATCAACAGCCAGTCTTCAGATTGTGGATGGTCTGCAGTGCAAAACAATCCTTCTCTGCTACCCAGTCTCATGCCGCTGCGAGGCAATCTCATGTTTGTGCATTCTGAGAATGACCCTGAGAACACACCAACGGTGACTCCTACGTCCCTCGTAGAGAGCACTGATTGCAGTGTTGCAAAACAAGCTTTTATTGTGTTGTAAAATAATTACGCTTTATAATTCGCGATTCCCAAATTACGCTGTATTCGTTAAATTTTTCACCGGGGTTGAAACATTAACTTTTTGTGCACAGTTCGCCACAGTCTCTCAAAAGAAGAGAAAAGAGTCTCATCGTCTCTTCATTGTGAAGCAAAATGTCAATGGCCAAAGTTCCGAAAACATTTGGAGCTATCAAAGAACGAACCCTCAAATAGAGAACGCAAAAATAAATAAGTCCTAGCTCATTTCTGCTTCTTGCTGGGCAGGGTTATTTTCCGCTGGTGGTGGTGGCTGAGCAGGTAGTGGAAATTCCACATTCCCACTTTGGTGGCCAGATCTCCAACAGGATGACCTTTGTTTATCGATTTTATGATCTCAATTATTAATAGTAATCATAAGTATCATCCTTACTGCTACACAATACAACTGATGGTGAAAAGTCGTGAAAACCGTATAAAATGTAGTATTGTAATACATTAAATCACAGTGACACCTGTGCAAACGAGTATGGGGCTGTGTTCGCATTTGTCTACATTGTCATGGCGGGTACCAGTCAAAAATAAGTACAACCACTCTTGATTTCCGAAAAGTGGTACTTATTTTATCGATGCCTAACTGGAATTTCAGCTCACAACAACCCAATCCTAAATTGTGTTGCTCTGTCACGGATGGTTAATAAGAACATGATGGTGACGGTATTAATGCAGTAGCCATGATGACACCTCGACAAACATTTTCATTGGGTTTTTGATCACCAATTAGAGTAATGTACATCTCGATCGGGCTATTGTTGTAGTCACGCAATAAACAAAAAAATAATCTTCCCTATGGAACTCACTCCACCAAAAGGGCATCACATCACGATTCGGGAAAAATCTCAGAGGACGGCACCAAACATTTGCATACGAGACTCATTTGAATACTGGACTAGTAATAAATGATAATTAGGACTGTAACACACCACACAGAAGCGCGAAGAACCACAGACAAGTGCGAAGGCAAGCGGCCATTTGGTGAGCCGGCACCAACAACTGCCCAAGCTCTGCAGTCCTCTACATGAAGACATTATTCAAGAATTATTAATGTGGGAGAAACCGGAGCACACGGAGAAACCCTACACAGATAGATCAGATGAAGATTAGTCCGCATTTTGTTGCACTGTTCGCTCGTGGCACGTCAGGGTATGGGACCTCCTCGACGCCCACGGTGAAAGGAGTTTCACATTTGTGCGATCCACAAAAAACTTGCTGCCTCCGTAGTGCTGGATTACAGGCCACGTGCATAGCCACCACCGCCTCTCACTCAACATTAGATGGCGCTCCATTTCAGTGGTAGCTGCATGTCAAGTTTCAACTGATTGTTTCACAAGGTGAAACAATCAGCAGGAGTCACATTTGTAAGATGGACCTGCGTCACATGTCAGTTATCCAACATGTTAGCCGGGAGATGGAATCTGCCAAATCGAGAGAAACCCCAGGTTTATGCATTTTTGTAGAATAATTTTTAACTGTGCCGACACCATGTTCTCACTGTCATTGAGAAGGCAGTTCCTCATGTTTTAAAAACGTTAACCGGTTGCTGTGGCAGAATACGTCACTGGTAGTCAGAAGGTCCTGGGCTTATATTGGATTTGGAGGTTAACTCAAGTCCACTTAAATCCATCCGGGGTCAATAATCTATAATGGGGAAGGGGAGGGCTTGTACCGGTTTTGATATCACTTGCCACTCATGATAGCCGTGGAAATAAACTCAGGTTGCTCGGTTCAGAGTGCAGTGCCCTAACCATGTCACCAATTTGTGTATAAGATATATACAAATTATATCATTATATCTTCTTATATTCATTAAGGTTAACACAAAGAACGAGACGGAATGAAGAGGCAATATGTACGAGGCAGACAAACCAGAAGAGACCGTTCTAACGAGAGACTAACTCGAATCGTGAGCCTGAAGGAATGGCCGGAGGGGTGTTTGGTTCAACCGTCGTGCATAGATGGGGGGCAATGTCCTGGGACCCAGCGATTGAGCACTGACACGGCAGGTGAGCACTCTCACCTGGCTTCCCTTGGGCATTGCCGCGTCATCGATGAGCAGCACCAGGACGTGGAAGCACACGAGCACCACGGAGACGCCCTGTCGCACACAATGACAAAGGTCTCCTCGTAAAGCCTTTAACACAGTTGGGGGGCAAGTGCTGTTAAGCAAGGACTGCCGTTGTCTCCCAAGTGCTTATGTTTTCATAATAAAGGTTTTTGGGTTAGATCGCGTTATTTATAAATGTGTCTTAACCCTCCACCACCCGACACGGACAATCAGCAAAAAAAGTGTCACGTTGACAAAAGACAAATAGTTCACTACTTTAGCCCACCGGTGTGTTGAAGAGTGAATCCACAACATTTACAGTTTGAGTACGACGTTTCGCTGGTAATTACATCCAGCATGATCGGGCAATTCGCCAGAATGGTAAAGCCCTCACTTGCTCCCGGTCTTAAATAGAGCAGCAGGGTGACGTCATCATTTAAGACCGGGAGCAAGTGAGGGCTTTACCATTCTGGTGAATTGCCCGATGCTGCTGGATGTAATTACCAGCGAAACGTTGTACTCAAACTGTAAATGTTGTGGATTCACTCTTCAACACACCGGTGGGCTAAAGTAGTGAACTATTTGTCATTTGTCAACGTGACACTTTTTTTGCTGATTGTCCGTGTCGGGTGGTGGAGGGTTACGACACATTTATAAATAATGCTTATGTTTTACAAACTTCCGACATTAGGAAGCCACTGGATGTATGCACTGTTAAATCTATATCGAAAACTAATTTCTGTCAACTGCTTTGTGTTTAGTTTAAAGTCCTTCCACAGCACCTATGATGAGCATGGTTGGCTATGTCCAGTGCGAAAGAAGTTCAAGACACATACATAAATATACCGCACCATGTGCTTATTTAGGTATGATTCGACCTCGAGGAGGGCCCTTAACTGGTTCAAATATTTGCCACTGTTGTTGGTTATGAGCAGGAATTGAACACGAAGGCCACTGACCGTGAGCAGCAGGAGCAGTAGCATCACAAGAGGGAAGCACAAGTTCCTTTGCCAAACAGAGGCTCCCACCCTCCGCTCTACACACACACACACAGGTACACAACCTCCGTTAGCCTTACAGACTGTGGGGATGAGCAGTCATCAATAATGCCACAACACATGAGGTGGTCTTGTGATCGGCAAAGTGCATGCCAGCCTTCCTTGAACTTCCCCGTGTTGGTGTTAACTGCGTCAAATAAACTAAAACTAAACAGTTTTTATTTTACCAGGTATGGCCCACTGAGAATATTTTCAGAAGCAATCTGGCGACAACTTATAGCTCAATGAAGTGGCTTATGTGGATTTTTTTTTATCGCAGCCAAATACTCTAAACGCATGTTTCTAAATGTGGAGGGAAATACAGGAGGACCCGAAAAAGATGCAAACTTCAAATATCCAGGCGTCGGGGTCAGGATCGAACTCACGACCTCTTGTGGAAACCAAGCGAGATGTAAACTATGTCGCCTGCGATGCAGAAGGTCGTGGGTTTGATCCTGATCCTGACGCTTGTATATTTGGAGTTTATACGTTCTCCCCGTTGTCACATGTATATATGTTTAACTTAGTTCGCACAGTACATAGCCAAACCGTGCTTATCGGCGGTGCGTGGAAAGCTTGGCTTTTCCTCCGGGTCCTCCGGTTTTTCCCTCCACATTTAGAAACATGCGTTTGAAAGTATTTGGCTGCTACACATTTCCACATGATGAGCCACTTCATTGAGCTACCAGTTGTGGCCAGGTCGCTTCTGAAAAAGAGCTATATAGTTCGTTTACCTTACCTGGTAAAATAGAAAAAAAAAAACCGCAGTCCGAGTCGGACTAGAGTAGGCCCTGGCCAGACCTAGAGGTGTGAGAGTTCACAGACAGCGAGGCTGTCTGCAGTGCGGCGTGCACCGTGCAAGGCCCTCACCCATGCTGCTGCGCTCCTTGCTCACCCAGAAGATTCTCTCCCTCAGAGCCTCCACGCTCAAGTGCTGCCAGCAGGCCGAACGACCTGCTCGCCACGCAGACACGCGCGCGGAGACACACACACACACACATATATACACACGCACGCGCAGATACGCACTGACATGCACACAACTGTCTACCGATACATATGCATGTAGATACATACCCGAGACACACAAATGCACACGGATATACAAAACAAAGATCCCCCATATAGCCTTTAACAGACTGTTGGTGCCGTGTTGTTAGTGGAGCACCTATTAAGGCTGGCACGGCACAGGAGGGGGTGGTTGGCCAGCACCACGCTCGGCCGCCTTTGTCTCCCCAGTAGCGATGTTGACACACTGCACCAGGTACTCATTCGAGGCCGAGTCGACCAAGGGGAGGCCCAGGACCGGTTCAGATAAGACGATGTAACACAATTTTTGATCCAGGGTAGTAAGTGTTATTTCGTAATTGCTTATGCATAAAAAGTATACAAAATGGCTATTATTCCCCACAAACTTTGATTTTGTGACCAGGACAGTGATATTTTGAAATTTACCTATTTTCAATGAGAAAACTGGCGAATTTGTCTCTTTTCGTTCACATAAAGTCAGAAAAAAACAACATATGAATCAAAACTAATGTGTATTTATACTAAAGTAATAAAAAAAATACTACAAAAGATTTAGAAGTGAGTAGTTTTTCGAGATTTACGATTATACTGTAAATCACTTTTACAAATCAGCCCCCAAATGTCGTCTCCCATCATGTTCTCGTTATACTGTCCTTGGTAGCGACGTTCAAACTCCAGTATATCCTGGTGGAAACACTCGCCTTGCTCCTCCGAGTACGCTCCCATGTTCTCCTTGAATTTATCAAGATGAGCATCAAGATGAGCATCAAGGATATGGACTTTGAGGGTTTTACCAAGTGTCCCTGGTAAAACCACCTTGGAGACCCATCAGTAATGCCACCATTTTTAAGTCTCCGATGACCTCCCAGCCTAACTCATCATACTTCAAGGCGTCCAGCAAGGTCTTGATGCTGTTGTAATCCTCTGAGGTGCACTGAGTGAGCCAGGGGAAGAGATGGGTACTTGTTACCATTATGGAGCAGCACGGCTTTGAGGCTCCTGGATGAGCTGTCAATTAAGAGGCGTTACTCATTCTGGTTACAGGCGATTCCAATTGCCTCAAACAGACTGGTCACATTGTGGCAGAAGTAGAGCCCATCTTTACGGGTGAAGAAGCTGCAAAAAGGTTGGTGACGCTTCCGCTGATCTGCGACTTGCACACTTTCATCCAACAAGTTCCACTGCTTGAGCCTAGACGTCAAGAGCTCGGCATTGGGAGTTGGTGAGACCAAGATCTTTGATCAAGTCATTGAGGTCTTTTTGGTTGGGGTAGTATGGGTTTCTCTCCTGAGCTCCACCTCTGAAATTGTCATCTGGATCTACAACGTCTTCCTCGCTCTCTGACTTGCTGATCTCTTCTAAAGACGGCCGCTCTCTCTCCGGAAGAGTGGGTACGGGGAGCTCATGGCAGTGTGGCACCGGGGCGATGGATGAAGGTCCGGAAAATGTGATAGCAGGTGCATTCTTGCCAGTCCGACGTTTGGAAGGGTCCACCATGCAGAAGTAGTAGTTGCTTGAGTGGTCAGTGGGTTCCTGCCAAATTCTTGGGCTAGCGAACTTCATGGCTCTCTTTCCCCCTCTGTACCATCCAACACAAATACACTTATTTCACCCATGACTAATGTGTAAGGGATTCTCGCAACATTTTTCATATATGATAAAAAAAAATTCAATAACATTTAAAATTGTAAAACATTTTTAAAATAAAAAAATTTTAACAATAAAAAAAATTGGAACAAATTTTATAACATTAAATTCCGAGCAGCAATTGTCTATCTTACTTTCCAATTTTTGTTGCATTGCTCGCAGGTGAAATGAGGTTTGTCTTGATCCCCGACAGGCATGCCGAAATATGCCTTGGAGGCCTCACGCATCTTAGCAGATGCTTCCACAGAGTGCTTTATCGCTCTTGTCTTGATAAATTGGCAGCAGACACAGCAAAAATGCGTCTTCCGGATGCTTGCAGCCTTTTGATGCCATCTCAGAAAAATGCAGATATGTATCCACTAAGGCAGCTGAACTAAACTGAACTGGTGGGCTTAAAGGCCCCTGAATTTATACTATTATTTATATTATTGGAAAGTTCTAGAATGTTCTGGAAAATAGGTAAATTTCAAAATATCATTGTCCTGGTCACAAAAGCAAAGTTTGTGGGGAATAATAGCGATTTTCTGTAATTTGAGGCATAAGAAATTAAGAAATAACACTTACTACCCAGGAACAAAAAAAAATAAAAAAATTGTTACACAGTGTAATCGCCACTGGTGTTGATCATGAATGGGAATCAGATTCGGGTCGCTGGGTTGGTAGTGCAGCGTGCTAACCACTACACAACGGAGATGCACACCATCACACACACACACACACAAAACTATCTAATGATGGATATACATACGCAGATTCACACAGAGACACACACACACATATATACACACACACAACTCTACTGACACATGTACATGAAAAAAACACCTCAAATCTATACAAGACTCCTACACATTAAAACAAACAGTTTTCAGCCACACAGCCTTATCGCACACGTGCACGCCACAAGGTTGTGTTGTAACATATTCACAAAACAATAATTAATAACTTGCAACCCTTTGCCAATCCACTGCTGGATGAAGGCCTCCCCACGCCTGGTCCGGTCATGGTCAGTGCCGATTGGTGAAGTGGGTGGGGGGCGGGGTGATCCATAACTGGTTCAGATGTCGCTCGCAAACTTATATTAGCAATGGCCGGGAATCAAACTCAGGTAGGCAGGTATATAATGAATACAGTGCATGAACCACTGTGGCAATGCTTCCCAACTCACAACATAGCCCTGATCATTAAATGACTACATGTGATAGCATTGGCCCGATATGAATTTGCGCTAATGCTGCGCAGGGATTATGCCTGAGCACAGGACGTCTGTGAGATACTACTACTAGAAAGGTCTGGGTTGTATTCCAGACTCGGGTGCCTTTCTATGTGGAGCTTGTATGTTCTCCCCTGTTCTACAATGTGTTTCCTCGGGGTTATATGGCATCCTCCCAAAGTTAAAATAAACCGTACAATGTAAATGCTTTCGGCCAAACATTGCAATGCTGAAATATTACCTGAAAATTACTCAACTGGATTACAAATAGCAACATTGCCCCCTAAACTGTTAAAAGTCGAAAGGACAATCCAAAAGAAAAAGAGTTAAGAGACTCAGTGAGGCTTTCCTGGGTACACAAGCATAGACACGTAAACTATTAATTGAAGCCATACCCGTTCTATGCACAAGTTGCCGTGTGACCAAAATACGTGGGAAACATGCGGAATCCTTCACGAAGTACACGGTTATCAGCTAACCTGCTTCCTCTAAGTCAACATGATACTGAGGAGAAAGGCTGCATGGGAGGCCACGTAATAAATAATACTGTGCGGTCATGCAAATTGTAATTAGAAAGTTGCTGCCACGGCGCAGTAACTACACAAAATTGATCGCCACAGCACACACGGACGTACAAATAAAACTTGCTATGCTGAAAACGAATTAGTTGGTAACTCTGCATAAATGTCTTTCTGAAATATTGAGGTTGACCCCATTGTAAAGTTTACTCACGATAAAGCCAAAACTAAAATGGTGATAATCTTCCGTTGCTGACAAATACCGCCTAATCTATTGCCGACAGACTCTCACGGGAGGCATTGAGGGCATATAATAGCGCAGCAGATAGTGACAAGATTCGGCCTCGTGAGGGCTCATCGGTGAGCCATATGCAGCTACAGACGATGGCAGTGTTATAGCAAAGGGGAACCACAACTGGGACACGGGGGTCTTCACATTTAAGTAAAGGATTGCTAGTTGTTTTAACATGACTGTTTTAAGAAAGCTTGCAAAGATATATTAACAACAAATTAAAACATTTTAAAAATGATAGCATTTTTATATTCTTGGTTCTTGCGGTAAATTCAAGTAGAAGGGAAACAATAAAATAATAATAATAAAAAATATAAAACGATAAAATTCTCACGACGTTTCGACTGCAACACAAGCAATCATCATCAGGTGTGAAAACGACAGCAAGAAAATTTGAAAAAAGTGGCGGTTTTTTTTTACGTTAGCACTACGGAGAGCGATTTGGCAGTTATTCAGATGGACGAGTCCATCTGATATGGACGAGTCCATCTGAAGTCCATCTCAATAACTGCCAAATCGCTCTCCGTGGTGCTAACATTAAAAAAAAACCGCCATTTTTTTCAAATTTTCTTGCTGTGGTTTTCACACCTGATGATGATTGCTTGTGTTGCAATCGAAACGTCGTGAGAATTTTATTGTTTTATATTTTTATTATTTTATTGTTTCCCTTCTATGTGACTTTACCGAAAGAACCAAGAATATGAATCCCTGGAGTCACGAAAGCTTTAAATAATGATAGCATTTTATTAATGTTGCAGCTGTGACTCCAAGGGAGGAATCGTAATGAGTCAAGGACGGCCACCTGCGCAGGGCCACTGCGTGCCAACGGAGACGAACGCCGGCCCAGCATCCATGTGAGCTGAAATACTGAACTCTTGACTTGTTATTGTATATTAAGTGGCATTATTATTTTTGGTATGCCAATAGTTTAGCATGAATTGTTGCGAAAGAAGAACTTCACCACTGATTATTGTTAAATACAACACGATATGTGTTGTATGGACATGTAGCATAGTACTAATCTACGTATGACAGCTATGACAACAACAACCGCCATTCGCCACTAAGTGGCGGTGACGTCACCACGACGCTTGTGCCACGCCACGAGCACCTTGAGGCTATGAATATTACTGCCGTACCTCCGATTAGCGTGGTTGGCCACGTACGATGCAAACAAAGTTCAACACACATACATATTGAGGGCAGACTGAAATCGAGGCAAACGAGCAGGGTGGCGTGTGTTCAGAAAACTATAAAGATAACATTTTGGCTTGACTTGAGTTTGTAAACGAACACAGGAGTTGAGCGAGTTCAGCGCCACCGCTGCCGTTTCAATGGTCAGCTCACACGGCCGCACGCACCGTTGCAGGTGCATGTGCGCGGCACTCCAGCGGAACAGTGGTGGGTGCTCCACGGCAGAGCACCACTTCTAGAGAATGCCACCCAAAAAAACATGCCGCTTTCGTGGATACATAATGGGGTCTCGTATCCTGGGCTGTACAAACTGAAGTTTCAAGCTTTGTAAAACCAGCGAGGTATTAAAATGCACGGCAGCGATGCCCCGTTGATGCCACTGGGGCGATTGTGAACGTCGATTTAACGGCATAAGTTTTTCTTCCGATTCCATTCCGATGACGGAAGAAAAACTAAAATAAAATAACTTTATCGGTATGTCTTCAGTTTCAGAAGACGTACCATGGCTCCCACAAGGGAGGCCGTGGCACAGTTTGGTGGCAGCTATCATAAAGTGCGGTCGTGTCACGACAGTTCTCAGCTGTGAGTACAATGTCTTTAAAAAAAAAACCGGCGCTATGCCTCTCTAAATTAATATTAATTCCAACCGCTTGCGCGTTCCGAGATTCAGCGGTGAACGGGACACCCACCCTGTGACTTGCAGACATCTCGGAACGGAAAAGGTTTAAGAGAGAGCAGTTTGTGTTTTTTGTGTTCGTCGGCGGTCGTGAGGTCATGTGGGAAATGGGTGCAAGCCGGCAAGAGGAACCAGCATGGGGCACGAATGTAAGGTAGCGGTGGGAGTGCTGCATTAGTGGTGGCAGCCATGAGGGGGCAGGAGTAGGAGGGGGGGGTGTGGGGGGTGGGGGGGTGACCTTTGAGCCGCCGCTTGAGCACCGCCTCCTCCAGCCGGCTGCACTCGATCTGCTCGTCCAGGTTCTCCAGCAGCTGCAGACGCCCAGAGTGGTCAAAACACAGCACAATAGCCAGCCCGAGAACAAACTCACACCAATGCTCCTATTAACACCACTGCCTATACATGGGGGTGTCCTGGGTGGCGCAGGGGGTTAATGTGCGGGATCAGGGGCACTTGAGCCAGCACCGTTGAGATCCTGGGTTTGAATTTGGTTCTGAACTGCCCATGGTTAAACTGGGTTTTCAAGTGTAGTGTTTTATATGTATATTGTTGTTTTATCGTTTCCCTTCAACGTGACTTTACCGAAAGAGCTAAGAATATAAGTGTAGCGATGTTGATCATCTCCGCCCAGTCACCAGTGAATGTACAAGCAAATCTATTTCAGCTCTGAGGACTGAAATTTTTGTTTTGGTTGCTATGAGGCAAACTGTCTTTTTGGGGCATGTGAGAATATGTGCTATCTGGGATAGATAAGAGGCCTACGGACGCGATTGTTTTCTGCCACGATGTGATGCACCGTTGACCGCGATGCTTCTGAAAATAAATATATTAATGTTCAAGGCTTAATGCTGACGTCACAACTGGAATACAATCAGGAAAATAAACCGTTAACATTTAATTCGTGGGTTGTTTCTTCCACAAAAGCTATGCGAGGTAAACCGGCCTGTTCACAAAACCGACTACTTTCTGAACACAGACGATTAGGCGTGCGACCTTGTGCATCTTCAATATTAAATTCACCGTTTGAATACATTTTAGCCAACACTCCGAAACAACAATAAACATTCAGAAGGAAACGGCTGTGGTTGTTTGTTTCCTACGTGTGACGTGGACCCACGCGAGGTCACCGGACACGAGGCATACTCAGGAGAACCTCTTTGTCCCCAACCGTGACACCAGGACAATTTTTTTTTTTATCATACTTGGATGGTTGACCACTAAGAGCAAAAAGACTGGGGCAATTAATGTCGTGGGCAGCGGGCGGCAGCGCAATAACACGCAATGTCGTTCTGCAGTTCCTCCCACCGTCGTCAACCCACCCTGACCAGCATGGTGAAGTATGGTCAAATATCCCTCACAGCAGCCCACAGGGCGCGGGGAAGCCCACATCCCGCAGTGGAGTGACAAAATGGATTGATTGGATCAGCTCAATCACCAGCGCACACTCGAAAGAGTGAAAATATTCACGGCCAAAGATGTGTGAGAAGTCGGGATTATGGTATGGGATGTGACCTAATGGACTAATTTCTCTGTTTTGTTATAACTTTTATTTGTTTTTGCGTTTCGTTTGTTTAATTATTTTTATTTACGAAGTTTTTAATTTGCTTGGTACTCGCTATAAATAGGATTTGGCCCTCATATATAATTAATGTAGAGCGTTGTGGGATGCAATTAGCTTGAATGATGCTATGTAAAATGAAATCATTGTTATTAATGCCGCTTAGCCACCGTGCACGCCCACAAATTGAACCCAAATCGCCACTGCAATTGCAGCTCAGTGCGTAAACCACGATTACACAACTCGACGTCTGTTGTGCATAGACACACACACACACACCACACGATGGTTTCATCTTCGTGCAATCCATCAAACCCTTGCCTCTCAAGCCTTCTCATCATCGCCAAGTGTGCACTGGCTGTCTGGACATTTCCTTGAGCCCAGCGAGCGACCGCGCTCCAGCACCAACCAGTTCAGTTGGCTCCTCGTCCATAAAAGCAAGTACACCCTCTGTTTAATGCCATCTTGCCCCTCCCAGCGCCCATGCACTCCCCCGGGTGGTTGTTTGGCCTAAGTGAGTAAACAGTGCTTCAGAGGCCTACAGGCTCAAGTCGCACACTAAAAACCCGGCGAGATCAACATTACCCAGATTTTCCCACACGTTTACAGTCACATAATTGGCAAGGCAAAGTCTAATGCTACTTTTATAGCCTCAATTTATTTTCCCGCCACCACCCCCCCCACCCCTCCACCACTTTTATTTCACTGGGTCGCACTGTGGTTTGGAGTGCCGGGCTTGGAGTGAGAGAAGGTCAAGGGTTAAAATCCCTGTTGGGAGGCCGAATCGGCTAACCCCCCCAAAAAAATTGCCACAGCTTTGCGGGAAAGTCAACAAGTAGTCGTCCAATTGAGAGCACGGTCGCTGCCATGGTAATATGGAATTTCCACCGCTGGGTGTGGGGTTACCAAAGGAGATGAATTGCAGCCCAATGCCACGTTTGCGCGGGGAGACACTTTGATTTGAGAAGAACTTTGACTCAAGTTAACCTTTCGTCTTCTCAGGTGACAAACAAATTGGCTTCTAAGTGTTATATAGCCAGGAGGGTGAGAGCACAGAATTGTCCCAAGCTACAGTCGCCATCTAGAGGCAGCATAGGACAAGGCAGGGGTGGCCAAGCAAAACAACAGTGATAATCCACCCGGGCAAAAATCTCTGACCTGGGGGCACATCACAATGACCCCTGACCAAGTGTTTGTGAGCAACGCCACACCACGTATCCCATTTTACCAGCACACGCAGACTTACTTGTCACTATCCCATCGTCCACCTAGATTTGTTAGCAGTGGGATTTATGTGGGTTGAGCGAAGCACTTAACGAAATCGAAGATGACCCCAAAAACGACCCACATCGGCATTTTAACTCGCGACCTTTCGATCGTTGGGCCAATGGTTCAAATATCGGCGCCACCCGGCCGGATCACCGTTCGCATAACCTATGCTTGCGATTGGGGCAATCAATGGTGGTCGTCCAATAGACCGGAATTGCCACCGCTGCCTCAGGGGACTGTCAACCTGAGACGAGTGCTGACACATTGTTCGTCAAAGCAGGGAGAGACACCACGACACGACTTTAATGCGCAAGCCTCTGGTGTCATCACGGTGCACCTCGGTGTCAGCAGTGTGTCGATGTATCCACCCTGGCGCGGTGCATGTTGCCGCTCGTGCTCTCAGCGCGCGCGCACGCACACACACGGAAACGCACACACACACACACACGAGCCGGCAGGCGCACAGAATGAAAGTGGCGATGGTGGAAGCGTGCCCAAGTGACGGCATCTCACCCGCGGCTTCACCAGCAGCTGACCCGTCACCCCGAACATCCGCGACAAGCCCAGCGGCGTGCACACTGCGCGGCAAACAAGAAAGATCACAAAGATCCCACACATAGCATTAAAAGACTGTTGGGGCAAGTGCTGTTAAGCGAGCACCTATGAAGACCGGAACGGCACAAGAGGGGGTTAGTGGCCAGCACCACGCCCGGCCGCCTTTGTCTCCCAAGGGGCGATGTTTAAGCACCACACCAGGTACTCATTTGAGGCTGAGTTGACAAGACAAAAACAACGGCCATTCGCCACTAAGTGGCGGTGACGTCACCACGACGCTTGTGCCAAGTTATGTGCACCTTGAGGCCACGTGAAGTGTCGAACGCCCGCTGGCAGGAGGTCACAAGGCAGATCCAGGTGCCACGGGTCGACTGACTGAGACGACTGGCTGATGCACCACCTGTGCTCCCTACTGTGCCAACTTTCTGTGCTTTAGCCACCCGGCGCTCTGCTCATTGTTGTGAGCGTCGCTCCTCCGCCCTCCGTTGTTGTTGGAGGGCGACTGCCTCCAACTGCCCAGTAGTGTCCTTCACGAGCCTCCTCCACAGAGGCTGATCTTGACACCGCTGGTACTAGTCATGGGCAAGTCCACTCAGCTCCACGTCCTCCTGTACCACATCACTCCATCTCTTCTCTAGCCCGTGCCGCGCCCGTTTAGCCCCCTCCATCCGGCCGAACAAAGCTGTTTGGGCATGCGGGCTACAAGGCCCAGCCAACGCAGCCTTGCCTGCCGGAGGAGCTCACCGATGGGACTTTGTCCAGATCGTTCGAGGATTTGTGAGCTCCTCACACAATCCAGCCTGGTTAATCCCAGGATTGATCGTAGGCAGGCCAGCCTAAATGTTTCTAACCGGCAAAGATGTTCCATTAGGGGGGTCCACGTTTCGCAAGCGTAAAGAAAGGAGAGAATGACTGTGGCCGAGAAGACCTGATGCTTCGTGCGGAGCGACAGACCAGGTAGCATCCACACAGCGTTACGCAACCTATGAAAAGCTAATGCCGCTCAACTGATTCGGAGTGAGACCTCTCCTGTTAAACCGGAGCCGGTCATGAGCACACTGCCCAGGTATGGGAAACTCCCCACTCTCTCCACAACTGCCCCATCACCGATTGGGAGTTGTGGGGGTGGAGTGCCCAATGGTAGAAAATACCCAGGCAGGTGCTTCGTTTTGGTGGAGCTGATGGTAAGGCCCCACCTCTTAGTGGCACACTCCAGTTTCAGCAGCAGCGCCTACATCTCCTCCTCTGAGTGAGCCGCAATAACCAGGTCATCAGCATACATAACGTGGTTGACCAATAGGGAGCCATCCCTTGACCGCACCCGGGCATCGATCAGCCTACCATTGTATCTGTACCAGATGGAAATTCCTCCAGTACAACTACTGAAGGCTTCACAAACTACATGGTCGAAATAGATGCTACGTAATGTTGGAGCCAGAGGACATCCCTGTCGCACCCCAAGGTGAACAGGGAATGGCTCCGACTCCCAGCCACGTAGTTTTACCCGGGCCCGCTCACCATCATGAAGGTCCTTAATGACCGTGAGCAGCGGGTCAGGGACTCCGAAAGCACGAAGAACAACCCAAAGCCCAGGCCTACTGATGGTATCATCGGCCTTGACCCGGTCAATAAAGCAGAGATGTAGGTCTTGTTGGAATTCCCTACACATGACACATGACTTTACCGAACAGAACCAAAGAGTATAATTCCCTACACCTCTGCTGTAGCTAGCGGACAGAAAATATGGCATCTGTGCAGGACCACCCTTTCCTGAAACCACATTGGGGCTCCATAAGCCTCTCCTCAGCGTGCCTGGCAAGGCGGTGTTTAATAATCCTTGCCAGGACCTTTCCCGGCACACTGAGGAGTGAGATGCCCCTGTAGTTGTTACAGTCTGTGCGGTCTCCCTTCTTAAAGATGGGGACCACCAGGGCATCCTTCCAGTCCTGCGGAACCCGTCCAGTGGTCCAGACTGTTGTTATGATGTCATATAGGGCAGTCTGTGCACAAATGCCACCCACCCTCAGCATTTCGCTTGGGAGATCATCTCTGCCCGGTGCCTTTCCTGGTCTCAGACTCTGGATCGCCTTCAGTACTTCCTCAACAGATGGTACCTCAAGCCAGCCACTCACAGGGGGTGACTTCCTCCTCCAATATTTGAGGCACCGCAGCCTCAGCAGGGTCATCCCCACTTTGTCCCACAATGTTTTCCATGTGGTGGGATTTCCCCTCCCCCAGGACTTCACAGAAATGCTCAGCAAATCTGCAATCCTGTTCCTGGGGGTCGGAGATTGGATCACCATTTTTTCCCCTAATGATGGTAATAGGTGTGGCGCTGCAGGTTACTTTTTTGATAGAATTAAATAGGGATTTGTGATCACGGGCCATTGAGGCAAACTCCATCTCCTCAGCAACCCGCGACCACCATCCTTCCTTGGAGCACCACATGGCTCTCCGAACCTCCAAGTGAATGCTGCGGTAAGCCTCCTCATTCTCCGACGTGGGATGCTGTAACCGATTAGAGTGGGCCTTTCGCTTTTTCTCAGCCAGCTTGAACACCTCCTCTGTCAGCCAGGGTCTCTGGGGAGGTCTGGACCGTGTACCCAAAGCAGCCATTGCAGCTCGTAAGCGCTGATGGATCTAGATTTAAAAGTGCATCAATCCAGTATACTTTCCAATATCAAAAGAAAGAGCGTTCCAGATGGCTGAAGAAGCGCATCTAAAAGCACACGATTTAGTGACCGTCTTTATTCAATGGTTAGCCAAAAGCCACTGCGAGGATGCTCCTTGACGGGATCAGCAAGCTATTGTGGTTCATGGTTCATTTGTGGCAAGCACTTTGTGTGTAATGAGTGGTGCTAAAATGTAGGGGTGGTCATGGAACTGGGTGGCCAAATTGTTCGCATGTCACACTTTTGGAGCAAAGCGGTACGAGCACCTGCAGTGCGGAGAAGCCGGCGGTGGGTGACTTACCCAGCAGCAGGAGCACCCCAAAGAGGGAGATGCAGGAGTAGAGATAAGGCAGGTAGAAGTCCCACAGGCCTAGGGGCAAACACAACACTTCTTAACATGTTGGTTCTCTCAGACAATTTTACGATTCACAATTTATTTTTGTGGTAGGTCATATCATGATCTGGGAAATCTTGTGTCAGAAGACCCCCCCCCACCACCCGACACAGACAAACAAATTCAAATGTGAACTGTACAAGCATATAACAAGACAATTATGATTGTGTCTGTTTGCTGGTAAGTTGAAGAGCAATTCCCACAACCAAATTTATCAATTAGATATGAGGTTTTTCTTGAAACTGCATCAATAACCTTTGTTCTTACTTCCTGGATCAATTGACCTCTGGTCCATACTTCCCACTCACTACATTTGCGAGTGAGGTTCATCACGTGACAGTGAAACCGACATTGTAATTCTCACGGCTCGAATTAAGTGCAGAGCCAAATTTCACACAATGAGTCTTCTTTCGTGCAGTAATTGGTCACCGGGTTGAGACCATCAATTCGCTACACTTGAGACCACAGTTGGTTGAATCAGGCAGCCATCTGGATTCAAAACCCAGGAAGGACCTGAGCAGCGCCAGCTCAGCGCTCTGACGTCTGAGCCACAAGAATTGTGTGCGAGGTCAACGACTGTGTGCGAGGTCAAGTAGTGCCTCACCGCGCAGGGACTTTGTGCTGGCGGGATCCTTGCCCATGATGGACGACGCCACCCACACCATGCCCAGCACGAGCAGCACGAGGAGGCACAGCACCACGGCTGCCTCGTACACACGGCCCATCACTCCCTGCAGCAACATGGCACGCAGACAAAGACGTAGATCCTCTGTGCAGCCTTAATATACTGTTGGGGCAAGTGCTGTTAGTGAGCACCTATAAAAGGCCGGCACGGCACGCGAGGAGGCGAGTGGCCAGCACCACGCTGCCTTTGTCTCCCGAGCGGAAATATTTACACACTGCGCCAGGTAATCATTTGAGTGCCGAGTCGACCTAGAGGAGGCCCAGAACCGGTTCAGATAATTGTCGATGGTGTTGGCGGTGGGGGGGGGGGGGGGGGGGGAGTGATCTTTGTGTTTTGTGACGAGTGGACTGACCTTGCGGGAGCCTGTGAAGCCCTCGGACTCAATGAAGAAGTAGGCGAATGGCATGAGCAGCACCAGGGAGAGGTTGGAGCACAAGAAGACCAAGTTCCACAGCCCTGGGCAGACGACAGCAGAAAGAGCCTCCGAATTAGACGATGCACCCCCAACTTTTAGTTTACGCGGCAAAATAGTGCATTAAATAACTGAGGGGAATACGCTACGTCGAAATGTAAATAACTTCAAAGGAGTGCGACTTGATTTTATTACGTCGGATACAATTGGCACCGTTGATAGTTTTGGCTGCAGTTTGCATTTTGCTCAAACACAATGTTTTGATTGTGATCAATAAATACTTAAGACATCGCTATCGTACGATGGCTTGAATGTTACTTCTCTGTCACATGGAGCTTGTGCAGCACGGGAGGCGAGTGCACGCAGACCCTGGGTATGGTGGCACTCACCCGTGAAAGTGCTTTCAAAGTGGGGTTGGTGGATCACGCAAAGATCACAACTTTACTGTGCCTCCCCAGCTGTTGCGTTATTATTTGGCCAGGAGGTGGCAGTAAAGCATGTGGGTGCTGTCCATTTGAACTTTGTTACCTCAAATTTTTTTCCCCCCCTGGGTATTCCATTGCCTCCCACGCACAAAACTAGCAAACATTCCGACGCAGGACGCTGAAAAACACTCCTCCACTGGGTTTAACCGCGAGTCGCCCGCGGCGCGGCGTTCATGTCGTGGCCATCACGGCAGGCAGGGGCATGGGCGAGCGTGGTGCACGCGGCCGGCCAGGGGGCGGCTGTGCGCAAGAGAACCACGCGCGCGCAAATATACCGTGGGAGCTGACACGAGTGAGAGAGCGCACCGTGCGAGCAAGTGAACAGCTCACGGGTGAGCACGTGTACTGTGGGCAAGCAGAGTGAGTGCACCGTGCGAGCAAGTGAACCACTCAAGAATGAGCACGTGTACTGTGGGCAAGCGAGTGAGTGCACCGTGCGAGCAAGTGAACCGCTCATGGGTGAGCACGTGTACTGTGAGCAAGCGAATGAGTGCACCGTGCGAGCAAGTGAACCGCTCAAGAATGAGCACGTGTACTGTGAGCAAGCGAATGAGTGCACCGTGCGAGCAAGTGAACCGCTCACGGGTGAGCACGTGTACTGTGAGCAAGCGAATGAGTGCACCGTGCGAGCAAGTGAACCGCTCAAGAATGAGCACGTGTACTGTGAGCAAGCGAGTGAGTGCACCGTGCGAGCAAGTGAACCGCTCACGGGTGAGCACGTGTACTGTGGGTAAGCGAATGAGTGCATCGTGCGAGCAAGTGAACCGCTCAAGAATGAGCGACTGCGCTGTGTTGCTCGAGTGAGTGAGTGAGCGAGTTTACCGCGCACGAGCGATCGAGAGCGAGCGTACCGTGCACGAGCGAGCCGTTGAGCCACTGCATGTAGTAGTTGTGCGGGAGCGACAACAGCACCTCGTTGCTGACAATGGAGAAGGGTAGCAGCAGGGCGGCCGCGAGGGACACGGCCAGCGTGAAGGTGCACATCCACAGCCTGCGGGTGGGCCAGCACGCGTGGCAGACACCGCCGATAGGATTATCACGACAGCACAACATTGCCGCGACAGCACAACATCGACACTGAGAATGCATTCAGCATCTAGCTGCGACCGCATCTCTCAAGACCACGGTCTTGAGAAGACCACGGTCTTGAGAAGACCACGGTCTTGAGAGAAGAGAAGGGGACATGGTTAATTTTGGAAAATGGTTAGATTAACAATGCACCTTTTTGCATACTATTATGCTGTCAGATCATGCAACAAAATTCTATACGCTCGAATTCTATGTAATGCAATGTCAAACTCAGCACCAAAAGGCATGATCAATCCACTGTTGGATGAAGGCCTCCCCCCAATTCGATGCCATATCTCATGGCCTTCAAGTGTAATATTCCACAGGGCCACCCGCACACCATATCTTAATTGGAGGCATTATATTATTGTTATTTACAATCCTGCTGTGGCACTGCACAGGTGTGCAGGCCATGCACAGGTGCAGGCCATGCAGATGTTCAGGCCATGCACAAGTGCAGGACATCCCCTGGCACTACGACCGACTGCGCTGGCCTCTCCCATCCTCATGCACATTTAACACCACCTGCTCCAGGCGATAGTGTTGTTGTGCACTGATAAAGTCGCTGTACTGGTTTCTCCAGTTCACCTTTTGCCAATCGTTTCCCTTGCTTGAATGAGTTCTATTAGTGGTTAAAAAGCTCGTATTTTGAACTTATTTTGCACCTTACGTAGCCAACCGTGGTCATCCGAGGTGTGAACATGGAACTGGATAAAGATGCACTTATGTCAATGGTGGCTGTGCTGAGAGCATCACAGATGATCGCAAACCAGGCTTTGAACCTACAACCTCACAGCAGGTGGAGGCTCAAGTGCACAGGCAAGAGGATTAAAATCTCCCGAAGACACCCGGGCCACACCAAAGCTTCATCGTAGATGACCGGGCATGTGCCCTCAATGTGAAACCCACGACTTCTTCCGAAAGACAAAATCGTCCAAAGTGCTGTGTAACCCTGCCACAAGATTCCCGCATATGATGTTCTTTTTTAAGCCGCGACGTGGAAAGCACCGCGTTTATTACTCACGCTATTCTGTTCACCACTGCATCTTCATCATCTCCTGCAACACAAGGCACACTGGTGTTTACGCAAGATACTACTAATGTGAAACGCTTGCGGCGCATGCGTTAGGCGACACCTCGATGGTCACGCACAGCGGGCAAAATGACGAGCACGGCCGGCCCTCGTGGCATGTGTTGTGAGAACGCTGCCCGTTTCTAAATGTAGCCCGCGATGTGTAGAACGGCAAGACCAGGCGCAGTCATGCCCCGGCATCGTGGTGCACTTCAGCAACAGCTTCACGTGAATTCGTGGAAGAGGGAACACTCATTTTCATTGGACTTATTAATAGCGGATGGGTGGAGCGGTGGCGGAGTGGTTAGTGCACTATGCTACGAATCCAGCAGCATGAGTTTAGATTTGCAGCCACGGCTTAACAGCATGGTGAAGTGCAGCCAAACCCCCACTCCATGGGAATGCCTTCATCCAGCAGTGGATTGACATAGGGCTGTATGCCCTATGTCTTTATTTCAACATAAAAAAAATATTTCAATATAAAAATTACGAGAATTTGCTATAAAACCTTTAGAAAATGTTGGCATCCCTCACTGTTAGTGGCTGCCCCTGGCATATAACATCACACTACTGCCTGGTAACACTGCTTTAATGGCCAGAGCCTCTCAACTGAAGTCTGCTCTGCTTAAACAAAGATACGGCCTGAAATGATACCAATGTTGCATTTCTACTTTGTGTACGTAGGCTGTGTGCCCGGGGGCTGTAAAACACTGGCTTGGAGCTTCTTAAGTGAATACAAATACACCATTGTTACGGTCACGTAGGTCAGCAGGACACTCCAGTGATGTCACTGTGATGTCAATGCCGTGCATTTTGAAGTCAATTCAGTGACGTTACTTCGGTGTCGTTACTCGAGTACCAAGATGGAACACCTGTGGGTGAGTCACAGCATTCTCTGTTTGCCTTTCGCAAAGCTGAACGAGAAACGCCGAAACCCGCACAGGGATGCTCAGTCGAGTACGCATCTACACAGCACTGTGTTTTGTTTGCGGCTGCATCTTCCTTTCAGCAAAGGGTATTAAGAAAAATAAACCATTGGTTCAAAAAAAATCCACGTTATTTAATTTGGGAGGCAAAAAAGAAACATAGTACGTTCATTTCTGCATTATAGAGCCATCAAATCGGTCGTACCCAACTTTTATTAAAAGCAGCCGCTGCACGTAACCACCAACCTCTGCTCCCGACATCAATCTCCGTCAGTAATCAAGGCAACCTGTGAAACAAGATCGCTCTTGTTGTGCGATCGGAGTCCCGTGTCACGGCAAGAAGGCAAGGCAAGAAGCCTCTCCACTGAAGCGGCACCTTCCCTGTTAAACCCTCCGGGGGATCCTGGCAAGCACCACGCACATAGTGGCTCCCACTGTGCGCCCAACATGCCCGGCCGGCAGTCGCAGGCATCGGGACGGGGTGCAGGGGGGGCATTCGCACCTCACGTTTTGCCTCGCAGGGTGAGGGGGGGGTCTGCTGTTGCTCTGTGAGCATGCGTGCCGCGACGGTGGGGATAGGCGAGGCCCAGCGTAGGCCACATTTCCTGGCTGTTTATCACCAATTGTCTTCGAAGACGACGTCTGGTCAGCGTGGAATAGTATTGATCAAATATCCCTCCAGAGGGGCGCTCTATAGAACTCCCTCGAGCAAAGTCGCTGCTGCCACCAGTGGTGTGAGAAAGCAAGCAAGGGCAGGGGGGTTGCACCATCCACCTTTTTTTTTTAATCACCGAGTGTATCCCAAACTCACTTAAACATCGCGCAATGAGATTAAGAAACTTTCTTCGCAACGAGTGGTGTAACATCACCGCTTAGTGTAAGAGAACGGTCCCTGTAAGAGAAGGCATCGCAGCACGACTTCCGCAGGCATTTCAAAAGTGGTTCATCACCTGGAATATCCTAAATAAAATGAAAAATGTAATTTTATGAGGCGCTTTCATTTTTGAGTGGTGTCCAGATATGAGCCCAGTACCTCACCAGCACCGGCTCGGGGCTCTGACTTGCCCAACCACTTCACATACAAGACTTCAAAAAGGTAATGTAGTAAAAAAAAAATTCCCATTGTTTATTTTATTCGGCAGTCGGTGGGTGATCAGGTTCAGATCTTCAACTAGCTACATTTCAGAACCCGGTTTAATCAATGGTGGTTAATACCCAGATACGAATTCCCGAATTCCCGAATCCCAGCGAACTTGGCAGAGCGTTCCGACAGGGGACATTCCGAGCTCCCTGGACTGCCCTGCAACCTCACAGGATGTCCTTTTCGGGACAGTGATGGATTGGAGTGTGCCATGGTCGTGCTCCAGCACAGCGTCTCAGATTGTGGCGGTGTCAGATTAGCGGACGCTGGCAAGTGCCGCGACACCTCCGAGCAGGCGGCAAACCGGCATGCGTCAGCAGTGACGCTCGCACGGGCGGCTGGGTGCCTCGGAGATCGCAATGCCCCCATCAGGCACAGTGCGCCGGTACCGCTCTGTGCCTTGGGTTCAACCGGTTGGGGGGGGGGGGTGGGAGTGATGTTCAGGCATGTGTGATAAATCCAGCTTCTTGAGTGCAGTAAGCCAAAGGTCATCGCGACCAATGCGGGATGCTGTCAATAACTACGGTACCTTGCCACTGTTTCCTTCCTTCTGCCAGTTCCCACAACTGTTGTACATTAACGACACAACCTCCGAGGTTGGCTCTTACAGTCTGCTGCCAACTGCAATGAGGTATTCTCCCCTTGGTTGCAGACCACTAGGTGCCACCCCAATGCCATCTCGTAATACCTGCCCTCCTCCGTTTTGTAAGCATATCCCTCCCATCGCAACCCCCTCTTCTTCCTGTTTACATCTACAACACTTATTGCCACGTTCTATTATAAAATTGTGAGCTGCGTAACCCCATTCGTAACATGTCCGTTTCAAATTTTGATTTAAAGCTTTCGTGACTGCAGTAATTCATATTCTTAGTTTTTTCGGTAAAGTCACGTTGAAGAGAAACAACAAAATAATAAAATATATATAAAACAATAAAAAATTCTCACGACGTTTTGACCATAACTCAAACGGTCATCTTCAGGTGTGTTGGTTTGCATAAATTTATGAATTTATAAAAAATTAATGAATTTATACATTTATGAATTTATAAATTTATGCAAACCAACACACCTGAAGATGACCGTTTGAGTTATGGTCAAAACGTCGTGAGAATTTTTTATTGTTTTATATATATTTTATTATTTTGTTGTTTCTCTTCAACGTGACTTTACCGAAAAAACTAAGAATATGTCCGTTTCACTTCGTTTTGGCGCATGAACGCTCCTTGGACTTAACAATGCAATGTGATTGTCATAAAGGCATCACTGTGCGCAGAGCGCAATACAGCCGCTGAGATGTGAAGGGTAGAGGTTTGGGAGGGTGTTTCGCCACCCGCGGTCCGCCTTGACCAGCAACTCACCCAGAATGAAGTCGGTCCTCTTCTTGAATCGGGTGATGATCAGGTAGGAGGTGATGTAGAGGAACGTAAACAACAAGAAGCAGATCTGAAACACAATGGAGAGTAGATGCTTCATGCAAGTGGTCGAAGACCGAGACACCTTTGAGATCGCGAATACAAAACGGTTATTATATAATGCAAAATAAAAACTAAACTGTTTATTATTTTACCAGGTAAGGGCCACTGAACGATATAGCAATTTTTTTCAGAAGCAACCTGGCCACAAATGAAAGCCAATCAAGTGGCTCATCATATGGAAATTTATAGCAGCCAAATACTCTTAATGCATACTCTTTGGGTCTTTCTGGAAAATCACGTAGATAGAAAAATTATTTTAAAAATCACGCCGTTTCGATCCCAACACAAGCAAGCGAACTCAGCAGTTCGCCTGCTCTACTTTTCACCTGAAGACGATTGCTTGTGTTGCTATCGTAACGTCGTGATTTTTTAAAATTATTTTTCTATCTACGTGACTTTACCGAAAGACCCAAAGAGTATGAATTCCTGCAGTCGCGAAAACTTTAAGTCAAGACTCTTAATGCATGTTTCTGAATGTGTGGAAAAATGCAGTATAAGTGGAAGAGGAGCAGGACTCCCAATTGTGAGAACGTGGGTTAAAATCGGAGTCAAGGTCGACTCGGTCTCATCATTATCTCCAACATCCCTCCACAGGCACAATGCAATGAATATTTCTGAGGTGAAACCGGGAGAGTGGATCTATCGAGAAATTTGACCCCCGCCACAAGAACATGAAATTTCCAACGCTCGCTTAAGAATGCCAACAGAAATAAATGGTAACACGTTATCGTTTGAGCATCGGGGCAAATTTTGACTAGGACTAACATTGGCTCATTAAAATCAATGTTGGTTGTTTTGTTTTCAGGATTAGACTTCGAAGAGAATCTGACACTGTGTAGTGGGTACAAACTTGAGAGGACTTCACTCTTCTGGAGGCAGCACGCTTATCTCAACATTACAATAACACAAAGGGGTACGGCCCCTTCCACCCGATACCTAGCGTGGTATTCCCTCCGGGCTAGCCTGCCCTAACACTGGGTTATGCTTTAACCCCTTCGCTGGTTAAGCTTTGACCCGACCCTAGCCAGGGGCTCGCGTTCTGCCCTTTGGGCTCTTCGCTTCGGGTCTTCAAGGTGGCAGCTCCAGGGTGGCTCTCGAGTCTTCAGGTAACGACGACTGCCGGTCCCGTTCAGGGGACTGTCTTTTATGCCGGTCCCTGGCTTACTCCGCCCCTAGCCACTCATCCCTTCTGGAACCGTCTGGAGGGGACTGGGGAGTGACGTTATCCCCAAGCCCCCTTCCTGGGGGTCTGGGGGTTTGTACCTCTGGTCCCGAGCTGCCTTGGGGTTTGCGTTGGCCCAACGGCCTGACTCATCACCATTAGACTCCCTTCTGCCCCCTGTTGACTCAGAGGTCGTTATTACAGGCGACAAGTAGTGTCAATCGCGTGCGGCGCTCAACGATGCCGCGACAACTGTATCCTTTACTGAGAGGTGCATATCCCACCCTCGAGATTAATTTAAAAGTCTCGGCGATACTGTTACAGCCAATTTAGTCTATGGGGGACACAACGTCAAGGCAAACGAGGAAAAGTCAATGATAACCAAGCCAGAAGCCGTGCCCCGAAATAATCTGCGGATGCATGCCGAGGTAAATATGTAAATCAGCAGGGACACTGCCTTTTAATTAAAGTGATTACTTTGTTTTTAGGGGCAATGGGTATTGATGAGAACCGATTAAATGGCTACAATTTAACGTGCATGGGTTTACAACTGGTAATCATAGCACAAAAGTCGACACAAAGATTCCCCGGATAGCCTCAACAAACTACTTGGGGCAAGTGCTGTTAGTGAGCACCTATGAAGGCCGGCATGGCACACGAAGCGGGTGGGAGGCCAACGCCCGGCCGCCTTTGTCTCCCTCGTGGCGATGTTTACACACCGCACCAGATACTCATTTCAGGCTGAGTCGACCGAGGGGAGGCTCAAGACCGATTCAGAGAATTGTCACTGGTGTTGGCCGTGAGCGGGAATCGAACTCGGGTTGGCCGGGTTCGTAGTGCGTCGCGCTGACCATGACACTAGGGGCCGTCCATGAATGACGTCACGTGATTTTGGACGATTTTTGACCCCCCCCCCTCGTCACACGGCGTCACAAAAAGTCAGACCCCCCCCTCAAATATGACGTCACAAAGCTCTGCTGCCGCCCCCCCCAAAAAAACCCCATAAAACATGCTTCAAATCGCTTTAAACTATTGTCATTGTAGTGCGTATTTAATGTGGCGCTGCACTCTGATGTTGCAGGATAAAACATTTATTAAAAAGTCTATTTAATTAAGTAGAACGTCATTAGACCTCCTTTGCCAGTACCAAAATATAATAATAGGGTTTTCCCCTTTTTTCTGGCAACAAAACTGAAACCTTTTTTACAAGGATTCGTGTTTACTGCATTAACCACAATACCTGCAGTCAAAATTCAAACAAAAAACATACTATGATAATATATGATGCATTTTCCTTGAAACTGATTGGTCCACACCAAGGGACGGCTTTCTTTTGAGCCTCGACCCAATTGGTGCTCGACCAGATGACGCCAAAAGGCGTCACACAGCTCAAAGACAATGCACTATCAAAGTAATGAGGGCTCGGGGTGAGCATCTACATCATTAGACCCCCTTTGCCAGTACCAAAATATAATAATAATAGGGTTTTTCCCCTTTTTTTCATCTGGTCGAGGCTCAAAAGAAAGCCGTCCCTTGGTGTGGACCAATCAGTTTGAAGGACAATGCATCATATATTATCATAGTATGTTTTTTGTTTGCATTTTGACTGCAGGTATTGTGGTTAATGCAGTAACACGAATCCTTGTAAAAAAAGGTTTCAGTTTTGTTGCCAGAAAAAAGGACAAAAAACATTATTAAGTAGAACGTGTTGTCTATATTCATTTAAAGTTGCGCATTTTGATGTGACGTCACATTTCTCAACACCCCCCCCCCTCGTCACAAATGTCTGGCCCCCCCCCTCCCACCCCCCAGGTACGTGACGTCATTTACGGCCGACCCCCGACCGCTCCACCCAATCGTAAACACGCGCAAACACAACAGACGCACGTGAAGGCCACGCAGCGTAATTGCCAGCTTGCGCCACGGCACGGTACACGTGTGGTGGTGGGGGGGGGGTGGCGTCTCTGACACGTGCGCACGTGTCAGAGACGCCACCCCCCCCACCACCACCACACGTGTACCTTGCCAGGGGGGCGGATAAGACGTGGCAGGGCTCCGAGTAAAGGTCAAATAGCAGCGGTGCGCGCACCTCGCCTCGGGGCAAGCGGCACCATGGATTCCCACCCCACCCCTCCCCGATGCCTCGCCCTCCTCCCCGGCCACAACGGCGACACTGGGCAAGCTGCCTGCCGCTCCCGCACGCAACATTCTTCATTACATAAACGAGCGCGCGCCGCTGTTTGACAGAGTGCTCAGACTCTCAATCGCGCAAGGGGTTGCGAGTATCAAATTCGGGTCGCTCGCTCGGTGTTTGACCTTGGCCCCATTCATCCCTCAGTGGCTTTTGTGGAGTTTCACAATCAGAACGTGTGTTTATATACTGGAGGGATCCGATAAGCTCTTTTTTCACAGATGCCCCATTAATGGGGGGGGGGGGGGGTGGCGTGTCTGACACAATACCGCCGACTGATCCTCATACAACCACAGCCGGTACCTCATTTAAGCACGCGTCTTATCTACATGAGGTGCAGGACACGGATTGCTTGTGTATACAGGTAGTCCTCTACTTACGATGGAGATGCGTTAGGACGAAGTCGAAGATGGCCTAGCCTACCCAGGAGTCTTAAAGAACGGTGAAAATTTAGCGAAACAGAGCAATTTACAGTACCGTACTGCATAAACTATAAACTGTATGTATTTATTAATTGCAATACTGGATTGCACAGTAAAATGTAAAGTATAAAAAACCAAGGTAAATTCTTAGCCTACCTATATGAACTGCAATTTAATAGAAAGTTTTTTTCAGGAAACAATCCTATCTGCCATAAAAACTTTTAACATGCATTGAACGTATGTATCGTATCGTGGTAACCCTAAAATGAAATCGCTAAAGCTACGTATCATACATGCATTGCACGTATCGTACCGCATCATATTCTACTGCACTCGCCAAGATTCCTACCTCGTACGCTGCTGCCTTTGCCTGCCGCGCGAAACGTAAAACATTTTACAATTGTGCCATATCGCTATCGCCATCGTAAGATCGAAATATCGTAGGTCGGACCCATCGTAAGTCGGGGGGGGAGACTACCTGAATAGGCGCGCACTTCCCGTTCCCGTGCGCCCATCGACCATCGTGCACGCCCGCACATCGGTGGCGTTTGGCTTCGCCGAGCGCAGCGCTTCATCACTCCCCCGGGAAATCGTTGGGTTTGTTTTAAATCCGATACGGTCAACGGACCTCATCTCGAGGATGTACGATGCCAGGGTGGGCTTGCGCGTCGTGGGCCAAACGAAACAAACGAGCCCTGCTCGCTCCTCTGTCCGCGACCGATGACGGACGGGTGCGCTTCAATAGCACTCGTTGCGCTGGGGGTCATGAAGGGCTCCCTGGAATTTCATGTTCCACAGTCGTGATTTTGGTGGACCCAGTTGCTGAACAGGTTGCGAGGGCGTTAATTAGGTGACCCGGACCAGATGTGCGAATGCCAGATTGTGTATTTGTTTGGCCAGGTTGCTGTAATGTTGTCCATGTCAAGTGTGTGCAGGTATCCCTCGATTTACGGACGTTCGTTTTACGAAATTTCGCTTTCATGCCAATGACAACTTATGGACGCTTTTCGATTAACGAGATCGATGTTCCATGTGCACGGAATTTCACATTGCACATGCCATGAGATCAAACAAGAAGCAGAATGCTGCATCATCCATCCACGACAGAGTCACTGTGTGTCCCTACTGTGCAACAGTTATGCCTCCACATCACATTTCGTCAATCTTGTTTACAAACAATCCCGATAATGTCA